GGCCCTTCGCCGCCTAATCGTCGGCGACACATAAGCTCGATTAAAATGGGTTAAAACGATCGACATCATGTTGGACAGTCTATCTAACCGTCCGATCGGGCCATTTATGGTCATCAACTTGATGACTGTACTACTAGTACAGGCTTTTCACTTGATGACATCAAGTAACAGAAGACATCTCAGAACACAAGACAAAGTGTTGTTGGTTATAGCAACAGACTAGACGGACAGCACAGATAAACAGCTCATAGGTAATGGTCGATGAGGACGATAGTACTACTATCATAGTAGACAACGATTGTGTCAGCCATCACAATGGCATCATGCCATTGGCATGGAGCATCATCACAATGCCCCTAGACATGGAAAAACATATGTGAAAACAATCCGTCAACCGCATGTTTCATCATTTGTGGTGCTGAATGACTCCTCATTATGAGGAATACCCCTATCAGATGGAAGTAGACTGGCTTAGTCAACGCTTTAAGGCTCTTATTAGATGCATTACCATCAGCGACCATGCCAGACGCGACCACATGGGTCGGTGACATGAGAATACTGAGGATCGGTATCCCACTATCCCAAGGCAATGGAAGACGTCAGAACCACCAACATTCTGATAACATGACCAATATCGAGCAGAGGGTGTTTACCACAAATCCTCCAGATTTTCAACATTTATAATCTCTCGGAGAGATTCTCTCCAGCAGGCAGCGTATTTAGCGCTAAACGTAGTTCGGAACTACTAGCTCCATCATGTAGAGTCTACATTGTAGACCGAGCATATTCAATGTTAGTTCTAGAGCCTTGCCACCTTGCAGGAGTGTCACAGCTTTACGAAGAACTGGGATGTTCTGAACATACGTTAACCATATGTGATATTGGGAAACCAGCTGAGGGTCCTTGCAGTAGTCCATTCAGCATCGCAAGGCGTCCTAAAGCTCTGTATGGAGCATGAAGGACCGTCCAGACAGCGGCTGCTTGCCTTCCAGTGGGCTTGCCCGGCTGCCAACTTTATACTCAGATCCCTCGGTCCGCCACAACCACTGGACGTTGCCCCCGTAGGGCCCGCTACAGCTTCGATACCGGGAGTGGCGACAGAACTTCCTGATTTCTCTTTGGCTGACGATGGTAATCTAATGAAGAGGTCCCAAACCCCGAAGGTGAATGCGTTCACCACTTCAGATCTGAACCTCAGATCCCAGACACGTTGGAGTCTTGCGTGTAGAGCCTCGCCGGATTGTCCCGAAGAGATACCAAGCCCAGCATCTGGCAGAGACTCGTAATATGAAAGGTACTGCTCTACATGATGGAACAACATGTGGACTTTGAGAGTTGGAGCCAAACCGGTTGCATACCATGCAGATTGCATGATGCAGTACCAAACTCATTTATGGACCCTTTCTAGCCAGGCAATCGACGATTCCCGAGGCATTTCTATTGCAAGTGGTAGAAAACTTTCAGCGCTTCCACAAAGGGTAGAGCCTTATTAGCGGAAGGTATATTATCCAAGGCCATAGCACGGAGCAATCGCGAACATCTGTTA